TGACCCTGGGAAGCGTTCTCGGCTTGAAGCCTTCGACCCTGAGTGTGCTGATTCCTTCATCTTCTTCGCTAATTTAATGCATATTCGATTTCTTTGGGAGTGTTTTAATATAGCCCTTTACTTTTTTAAAACGTGTTTACTGATTTTAGAGAGAGGAAGAGAGGAAAGCGTGGACCGGCCGCCTCCTGCACGCCCCCTCCTGTGGCTGGAGTCCCCGACCCGGGAATCGAGCTGGCGACCCGTCAGTGCACGGGACCGTGCTGGCCCCACTGCGCCACACCGGCCGGGGTTAAAATTACCCTTCAATTGAGCGACATCAACCAGTTTCTTCAAAAGCGCTCTGCTTAACCGCTCAGGAACGCTGTTCTCTGGTGCATTTGTTACACCCAATCCCAAGTTCCCAACCCCATGTTTGTGCTCCCCCAAGGCCACCCAGAGTCCCCTTACCGAGTGGCCACCTAGAGGCCTCATCTGACTTTCCTGGGAGCTTTCTAACGTTTCACTTGTTCGACACATTCGTCACCCTCCTTCCCCTCCTTGGCTTCTTGCGAAGCAGCCTCGTGCGTCCGGAAGGCCACTGTCACGCCCGGCACCTTTCAGCCCCGTCTGCGGTGTTCTTCTCCTTCCGATGTATTTCGAAGGCTGTTCCAGCCGCAGGTCCTGGATGGTGGATGTGTACTGATGCACCTTCTAAAGTCGGGGTGTTTCTTTAATGTTACCCATCAGCACGACCTGTTCTGAATGTTTAGATTTCTTTCCGAAACGTCCTTCTATCAAAGCCTCTATTTTTTTTTTATACTCACTCGAGGGTATTTTTTCCATTGCTTTTCAGAGAGAGTGGAAGGGGGGATGGGGCAGAGAGAGACATCAATGTGAGAGAGACACATCGACTGGTTGCCTCCCGCACTAGCTCCGACTGGGGCTGGGGATCGAGCCGGCAACCGAGGTATGTGTCTTTGGCCGGAATCGAACCCGGGACCCTCAGTCCACAGGCCGATGCTCTAACCACTGAGAAAAATCAGCTAGGGCTAAAAGCCTCTATTTTAAGTCCAAGGAAAGGGTTGGTGGTTTCCAGCTCTTTATTAATGGTCTCCAGTTTGTTTGTTTTTTAAATATTAATTTTTTTAGAGCGGTTTTAGATTCACAGCAGAATTGAGAGGAAGGTTACAGAGATCTCCCTCGTGCCCCCACCCCACAGACGCATAGCCCCCTCCACTGTCAGCATCCCCCACAGAGTGGTACATCCTTACAGCTGATAAACCTACGGCGATTCACCGTAATCCCCCAAAGTTCATCGGACATATTAGGGTTCCCGCTTGGTGTGTATTCTATGGGTTTGGACAAATGTGTGGTGACACATACCCAGCACTATAGGGTCATGCGTTGTGTTCACTGCCCCACAGATCCCAGCCATTCTAACAGGTGTGCAGGGGTGTCACAATGTTGACGTCATTGGCATTTCTCTGATGACGGGATGTGAGCACAATTTGCAGCCGATTGGATGGGAGGAGGGGAGCGGCAAGCAAGGGCTCGAGGATGATCACTGATGTAAGAAACCAGAGCCCTGGGCTTGGGGGGCTGGTGGGTGGGCCTGTGTGGATTCCCGTTTGGACCTAGGAGCTCTGGGCTATTGGACATCCACACGCAGCGGTCGCTGAGCAGTGACAGTGAATTCTGGAGAAGGTGCGGGGCCTGTGCCTCGGTCCCCTCGCACCCTGAAAACCTTTCGCCTTGCGTTCAGTGACATGTGCTGGGTATCCCCCCCCCAGCAATGTTTTCGATCGCTTATTTGGTTTTCACCTTTTATTACCTTTTAAGCATCTAGAAAATTAAAATATGTTTGCAGGGGGAAATGTTTTAATGGGAGAGAAGAGACAAACCTCCTATATAGAAAATCCCAAATAATTGATATACTCGCTGTCAAGGAGGTGGAGCCCACCCTCGCTCCTGGAGTGTGGGCTGCACACAGGAACACACTCCTCAGCCAGGGGTCTGCAGCCCACAGCCGCAGGGACGTGGTGCTGTGCATCCTTGATGTGATGCGATGACAGTGGCACTTGGCCTGTGCGGTTGCCCAAATCCAGTCTCATTCTAATCATGAGAAAAACACCAGACGAATCCCGGCCATGGGGATTCTGCAATCTGCCTGACCGGCCCACCTCAAACTGGCATAAAAAACAAGGCAACACCCGCAGGGGTTCAGGTCGGTTCGTATTTGTCACCCTCGGTTTACTCTCTGCGAATGCCCCCGGCTGCTAGAAACAAGCAGCTCTACTGCCACCCAGTGGGCGTTTTTAATTAAAGCGTTGAGTGCAGGATGAGCTGGAGGCCCCAGGCTGGGAGCAGAGTCTCTGATCTCAGGCTGCACAGGAACCCAGGCCCTTCTCCACGGATCCCCCATCCCAATCCTTACCTGGACTTTTCCTAACTATGCCCCAATTCTCAACTGTGCAATCATTTTTCAGGGTTTTATTACACTTTGGAAAAAAGTCTTTCTTGGAAGGAGGTGGAGGGAGCATGAGGGAGGGAACTGGGCATTTTTGTTTTGATGACCATGAAGAGCAGTATCCGTGTGCGGGTGTGGCCTGTCCAGCTGCTTTTGAACAATCAGGGTCTGGAGGCTTCAGCTGGCTGGACGGACCTCAGGGACTGGGGGGTGGCAGGCTGGGTCTGTGGACTCAGGCCGCAGAAGCTGTGGTCACGAGCAGCCTTGCTGTGCCGGGCCACACGGCAGCTGCTGTCAGCCAGGCTTTGAGGCACACATGCACATGGAGGCCACAGATGTGAGAGGGACAGGACTGGTGCTTCCTGCAGTGCGGCAACGGTGCTTTGCACCCCATGGCCTCCTCTGTGTGGCTGTTCATGCCTCTGGGTTAGAGGGAACCTGAGCACGTCTAGTTGGGGTTCCCCAGAAGCAGAGTCTGGGACAAGGGTTTGAACGCTATTTATTTGGGACTTGATTCCAGAAAGCCCTGGTACAGTGAGATAAGAGCCAGGGGAGGGGAAGAATCAGATAAAAGATGTCATTAAACCATTAAGGTGGTGAATGGCCTCAGAGTTGACCTGCTGGGGTGCACCCATCCCAGCTGGGGTTCAGGAACTGGGGTGAAGGCTGCTTCTGTGGACATCAGCTGGACTCTGATGTCCTGGAGGGCAATAGGTAGCTTTCCAAGGCAGAAGTGGGTGCTGCTGGGGTGGGGCAGGGCACTGCCAGGTCCTCTTAGTTGTGTTCATGTGTTGGGCTCGTCCAGTGGAGAGAGGCCCCAGGCGGGACAATGGCTGGGGGAGCGCAGGACCACACGGGGATTCAGCTGAGCACAAGAAGGCGCTATGTGGCTGAGTGGGCCTCAGCGCCTTCTCCACACAGGTGAGACTCTCAGGTGGGGAGACGCACAGGCCTTTGGTGCGTGGAGGGGAGAGTGCCGGGCAGCCATGGGGGGTCAGGGAGCCGGCTGGGGAGCAGCCTGTTCTGGAAGCATCACCTGGGGTGGCCTGTGGCACTGTCTGCCACTAGGGTGGAATCTCCACCACAGGGAAGACCCAGCTACTGAAAACTGGAGCAGGCCCGTGCTATTTCCAGGGAACACCAAGTATTTAGGTGATAAAAATCTATTACCAAGAACGGGAGTTCTGATGAGCTAAAGCTCATTTTGTGGAGAATGTTGAAAAATATAAATCCCCCCCCATCTGTCTTTCTGAAGTGCTACCTGGATAAAAGTATTTCACGAACTGCAGAGGACACACCTGCACACACACCTGATGCAAGGTCACTGAGCAAACCAACACGGGAGCCTCGTGCCAGCTGTGGAGACGCGGCTTGCGCAGCCATCGCCGCGTCAACCTGGGGGTCTGAGTCCCCATCAACTATGCCCCGTGGAGGACTGCGGGTTGGCCGGTGGGAGCTGGGGTGGGGTGTGCTCATACTGCTCCGGAGGGAGGTCTTTCCCAGGGGCTGGTTTTGGGGTCGGCCAAGATCACTTTAAGACCATAGTGTGTGGAGGGGTCTTACCCTGTCCTTCCCACCTTCTGGAAACCAGATGGCCAGAGAGGGGCCATCAGGCTCCAGAAGGCATGGTAAGGACACAGACCCAGCCTGGAGAACAGCCCCTGTGAATCCAGGAGTAGCTGAAGGGGCAGCGTGCTCCAGCCACCGTCCTCTGAGGGGCACTTCCAGCCAGTTCTCAGGTGGGTTCCTCACCAGCCTGAGGGCACTGCAGCCTCGGAGAGCTGTCACTGTCCAGTGGACCCTCACAGACCAGGCAGGACAGGAACCACCTGGCTCGGTTTCCATTTTTTCGCAGAGGGAGGGGACACCTGCCTGGTGACTGGTAGAAGCAGAAATTGGGCTACAGCATGAATCCAGTCCCCAGTGTGGCCACGTCCCATCTGTGCACCTCAGAGAAAGAGCAGAATCACAGATCTGACCTCGGGATCCTGCCATCTTCGGGCAACTATAACTACAGGTAGACTGAACCACCTAGAAGATGGGAACAAGATGTGTCGTTCAGATGAAGTGCTCTTGGCAAGAGCACATCCCTTGCCATCACCCCAGAACGGGGTCCCACTCACGACACGGGTTGGGATAAAAACTGAGGGCAGGTTGTGGCTCCATGTCACAGGTGGCCTGAGGACACAGCTTCGTCCAGGGGCCATGAGCTCCTGTAGTTCTCACCTCCGTATAACTTCACTCTAGCAGCTTATGAACACTCCTGCCCAGTGCTTCAGTCTTACCTTAAAGGGCTCAGAATAAAGGGTCACAGAGGCGAAGAGAAAGGATCCACTCCCCAAAAGCCATGGTGTTGAAGCAAAGCTATTAAACGGCCTAAAAAACTTCAGTGCGGAAGGCAGGGCGAGGGAGCTGTGAGCTCTACATGGTAAGTGAGGATCTCGTGTGTGGTTTCTGGTTCCAGCCTGTGACACAGCTGTCCTTGCGTCTCCTGACAGGGCTGTGCACAGGGAGACGGATGCCACGATCCTTAATACACCGTAAACACAAACCATGCTGTTTCTCCAAAATTTTATTTTAATTTAAATTACAGGGCCAGCCATAGCCTGATAGAAATTCCTTTTCCTCAGGAGAAAGGGCACGCGCTCACAGCGTTAACAGGTGCATCCATCTCCACCTCTCTTAAGGGTTAAAAATCACATGGAATAACTGACTTATGCAAAATTAAACCTTTATAACACAGAGAGAAATACTTTTAGTATAATAGTTTTGGTAACATGAATATATTAAATGATCAAAACTTCAAATGCAACTTTTCAACTTTGAATGTTTTTCACATTTTTGTTTAAAAACAAACAAAAGCCCCCAAATCTTAACTCTGCGAGATTTCAATGTGATGGTAACACGGTGTTCCCTGACAGGCCCCTCACTGTCTCCCACCCCACCCTCTAGCACTACAACGGTGTCACCGGGATGGAAGGAGCTGCTGTTGTTTCCAGTTCTAAGAACCAGCTTGGCGAGGAAACCTTCCTCCACTCAGTGTGATTACTGTCCTCACGTGACACCCTGACACCAGCACTAGGCCACGAGGACTGGGACGCTTCGTCGCGGCAAGGTCCGCCTTCCTGAACATCTGGATGTTTTCAATTCAAGAAGCTTGGATCGCTTTCCCTACTCCCAGTGAAAAACATGAGTGATTTTACACAGATTTTGGTAAAGACAGCCTCAGGAAAAACAATGATAATGTCGGCTGCCATTTAATTAAATGTAATAAAACACTTCTATGTTTTCTGGAGCTGTTTTCCTGACTGGTGTTCCTAGGAGGCCTTGCAACAGGCTGAAGCAGCACTTGGGAGTCTCGTTTTACTGGCCGATAGATAATTCAATTAGTGAGAGAGGCCAGCGGAGAATAATCGCGTAAACTTCTGAGCCGGCCACAGCCATGCTGAATCGAACCGGCAAACTCGGGCTGTAAGTGGTTAGTTGGGATCTTTGCATCAGTAAGATGAACAGATACCATTCTAATAACTTTACAGAGATATGTCCTAGGAGACGCTGCTCTGTCGTGGTCACGTAACAAAACCGGGGTGAAAATCAGTAACTTTACAAATACTGATAATCTGCAGCATTAAGGAATAGGACATTAGGAAAAATAAATCTCCCCGCAGGACACCTGTGACTAGGAACTCTTCTTTTCCTCCGAGAAGCCAGGGTCTTAATGATTCAGTGTCACAACTATGTGCTGGATTACTTTAAAGAAAGGGGCTCTACCGGGGCTCCCCCCGACAGAATCAGTAATAATTTAGCGTAATCGGTACCATTCATGAATCTGGCAAACCTGGGACTCCTGCTACGTGAATGAGGCCAGATTACGCAAGGAGGCGCTGACTGAGGCCCATGTCTGTACTGCACCCTACTGACGGCGCCCACGAGACACTGAATACAACAGACTGGCTTACTCTTCTTTTAATGCTGCGATACTTAAATGGTAAATCAGCATTTTCATGTGATCTGAAGTATTTCAATTACATAGGAGCATTCATTTTTTTTTTTGCAAAAACTCAATATTAGGTAATAGTTACATACTAATACAATAACATTCCTCTGCTGTACAAATTAAATCATTTAAAAGAAATGAGCATTCTAAGAATTATATACAAAAGAAACCTGTGAGCCTTGTTGAAATGAAACGCGAGGTGTTGTTACTAGCTCTACTGTTTGAAAGACCTTCCAAAAGGGAAATTAACAAATACCTTCCAACAATATCCAGGTTTACAAGTCTCAAGAAAATCAAATGTCAAAAAAATTCTAAAAAGCCGTGGAAGCATATATACATTTTCCTTTTGACCTTACGAAGCGTCACACTTTTAAGAAGTTGCTAAGTTTCAGCATCGATTTATTTGCACGTCAACTTTATCCACCCAAAAGCTCACACCGTGGGTACAGTTCCCGATTCCAAACACAGCGCTGCACAGTCTTCCTGCAGGGAAGGCAGACAATCCACCAAGAATCCAGCCGGCTCCTTACCAAAGACACACGCAAACCCGCAGCTTTAGTCGGCCCTACACGCCCTCTGCCACACTATCACCCCTACCCCTGCCCTCATGAACCTAGCCGTGCTCACAACTCCTACAGCAAACAGGGTCTCTGAATTCTGAAATGACACAAAGATCAAGAAAGTCCATGTGTGCTCTAGTGTGCAAGAAAGCAGCAGCTACGCTCTCCAAGTCGGACTAAAAAACAAAACAAGGTAAAATGAAAACCGTTCACTTAACAGCAGACTAGCATAATGTTCCTCACGGATGGGTGAGAGTGCCTGACGCTGACGAGCTAACAGCAGGTGCTGGGTTTGGATTTAATATTTTGGATGTTTGTGGGGGGTTAGGCTTCTTGCTGAGCTGGTCTCTTCAAGTCCCTGATCTGTTTGACTAAATAGGTCTTCTCGTCATTAAACTGCTCATCCTCGGTCCTGTCGTTCTGAAACTTGCTGAGGAACTCTATGAGCTTGGTCTGGTTCTTGAGGAGGATGTCTAGGATGGGCTGCGTCTTGTTGGGGTTGGCAACAAACACCTGCCGGAGAGAAACCAGCATCAGCCACGGGGAAAGGACACACAGAGCGCGCGAGGGACATACCCGGTACTTCCCTCCTGGGGCCCGTGGTGAAGTCGGGATGATTCGGTCAGAGGTTTGTGCTTCTGAAAAATCTTATTTCACAATATGAAAATTAAAAAGACTTACATGTTTTAGCACAAAAAGGACTGGCATGTTCATTCATGCTCTGAAACTCAGTAGTTGGCATTAAATATAGACGCTGATTTTAGGATGAAATGGGCAAAAATTATTTCTGGGCACAAAAAGTGAGAACGGATTTTGGGAATAAACTCCTCCTCGGGAAGCATTAAGACATGGGTTACCCCTTACTTTGTGATTAATAATTTTCTATGACAAAGACAAACTGCACTCTTCTGTAAATACACTTATTTTGTTCCCAAATCAAAATGGTTTACCCTGTTTTGGGGTCTATTTTAAGTGAGGCTAATACTATTTCAGAAATTTGTCAACGAAATGAGATTGACAACTTCAGAAGAAAATACTGCTTGTGGTTCTAATACTCTACCTTAAAAACGTGAAAAGCTTCAAACTGGATGTTACGGCTTTTGTCTCGTAGAAGGTTCATCATTAATTTGAGGTTCTCGGGTTTACTGATGTATTTCGTCATAATTGTGAAGTTGTGTCGATCTAACAATAGTTCTCCAAGAAGCTGAAAAGACATTTAAAGAGTAACTCTCCATTGTCATAAAAAAACCAAATTTAAAAAAATAATTCATTTAGTCTGGCCGGGCGTGGCTCAGCGGTTCAGTGTCAACCTAGGATCCAGGCGATCAGGGTTCAATTCCTGGTCAGGGCACATGCCCAGGTTGTGGGCTCGATTAATGACTCTCTCATCATTGATGTTTCTATCTCTCTCTCTCCCTCTCCTTTCCTCTCTCTGAAATCAATAAAGATATATTTAAAAAAATAAAAAATAATTCATTTAATAATCGTCATTATTAAGCACAGAGTATTACTAGGCCCTTAAAGGGCTGATGAAAGGAACTGAACTATGATCTGAAAGCTACCGGGTGCCTACTGCCCGCCACTCACCCACCCGCCTCTTCCTCGAGCACCTAAACCTTCAGTTAGTCCAACACTGCTCCCTGAAGAAAACATCCAGGCTCGTTTGGACCCAAATTTGAGCCTGTCGGAGCCTGTCTACTCTTTAAATATGCATTTGTGTTATCTCGCTAAAAAGGAGCGATCAAAGACAGTGTTCAGAAGAGAAGGTTTTTTGTTTTTTTTTGAATGCAAGTTTGAAGTCTATATTTTGAAAAGACTACATTTTTTTTAGAAGGTATTGATAATTCCTGTCAACTAACCACAAACCTTAGCTCAACTGAAAGCTAATTTTACTATTTTAAAATTTTATCTGAATTCCACAGGGCCAAGGACCATGTCCAAAATTTCCCATACACTGACTTCTGCACACACCAAGGTTAGCATATCTGATTCAGAAAGGTGACAGAAATGAAAGATTTCCTGTTCCTCTCCAGCCAGGTTCCCTGAGATACTCCCTTTTCTTCTTAGTGACTCATCACTAATACCGTCAGCTAAGCCAGGAAGAAACCTGTGCCTTCAGGGCTCGCTGAGTCTATGGAGGCTCATTACACTTTATCAGCCCTCAGTATCTGCACTGTCGTTGCTTAGCCTACATTTTGCTTTTCTGGAAACCAGCAGCCACCTCCTCACACCGTCAGTGCCCATGTCTAGTGCAGGTCGTGTGGCCTGCAGTGGGCAGGCCGATCGGTGGCCCTTGTGGACAGAGGCAGAAGCAGAGTGGGGGAGGGGCTGGCCCTGGCCGCCTGGGTTCGAATCTTGGCTCCCTGCATTTGGTATTTCTAATTTACGAGGAGGTGGGCAGGTGCCCCGTGTGGGCTACTGCTGAACCCCGTTTCTTTCCACAATAATTCTGACCATGGACAAATGTATTTTCCCCTAAAGGTCTAAGACCCACCTACCAGCATTGTTCCTTTTCTCCAAATCCAAAATTCAAACATAGGGTGAAGAGAAGGAAAGAATGATAAATAAATAACTTGTCATACCTTGAGTGACTGTCTTTTGGTCACATAATTTTCTGAATGAAGTAACTTCTCATACTCACTGAAGAACTAAGACAAAAAAACACATATGAGAGTTATTTGTTTTTTGAGGACTGGTAGATGATGTCATAAAGTTTGAGTGGAAACTGAACACCACAGAGGCCAATCACTGCCCGCTCGCCTCCTCCCATTGTTCCAAGCCCTTCCTTTGATGAACTCAGAGAGCCTCAGGGTGACACCTGCTGATCACCTCTGTGAAAAGGGCTCTCGGGACTGACCCCTCCTAGCTCTAGACAGGCCCATATATAGCTTCAATCTGGTCCTCTTCTGTTACCCAAGCTCCTTACGCATGAAACATAACTCCCTTCCCCCAATTCTTGAGTCAGCTATCATTTGTTGGTGTTATATTAGAAAATTAATATTCTTTACAGAGAAGAAGTCAAACACAAACACAAAGAGAAAAGTTACCTGTTCTTTCAATGCATCAAGTAAGGAGAGAAAGCGATTAAGAATAGAAGAGAGAAGAAACTCTGCACTGTGCTATATCGACAGAGGTCCTAGAGAACACAGGTCTTGGGCTCAAACTTGAATAATGGGAGGGACTTCATTTAGAAACGGGGGGAGAAAAGGTATTCTTGGGGGGATAAAAGGGAAGGACACAGCATGAGTAGAGACCTAGAGAATGCAAAATGCTATAGGTTTAGGAACTGACGAGTGTCCACTAGATTTACAAAACGGTGCTCACCAACAAGAACAGTGTCACTAGAGTGGGGAGGAGAAGCTGAATTAAAGCAGGGAAGCAGGAAATGGAAATGAGGGCACCCAGAGGCCAAGGCTACACTCTCAGAAAGTCAGGAGAGAAGGCCAGCTAGCTTTAAGGTGTGTGTGCACGCACACACACACACACACGCACACAGTCACACATGCACACACACACAAACACACATATTTATTTGTTTTTGTTTTGACTCTAGTAGGCTTTAAGATTTCCCACTGTGTACACTAGCATGACTGCTGGATGTCAGAACTATCCTGAGGCTGCACTGGTGTGGGGGGCGGCAGAGGATGCTGCTTTGTAATCTGTCCACACCGAAACTGTTTGTGCCTATGCTTTACGCTGGGTCAACAGCCATTCATCTGTGCTTTAGAGGAGGGGCTGGCAAACTTGGCTCACGGGGCAAATCCAGCCTACTGCCCATTTTTATAAAATGAAGTTTTAATGGGGCATAGCCATACTCACTGGTTTACTGTAAACCAATTCGTTTATGTATTTTTAGGGCTGCTTTTGCAGTGTAACAGACAGGAGAGCTGAGAGACACCAAATGGCCGACAAAGCCTCAAGTATTTACTCTCTGGGCCTATGCAGGACGTGTTCCCAGCCGTGTTTAAGAGCTATGCTAGGACTGTCCGTGCATTATTTCTTCTGCTCAGCTCTAGGAAGAGATGGGTAGCTATCTACTCACTATTAAGCAAGTGGGACACCTCTCTTCAGAGGAGGCTGCTAACCCTGCCTTCTCAAGTGATCCTCAAACCGATGATCACAACCGGAGATGCCTTTAGTTAGTAACATGGAATGTGCGCACCTCAAATTCTTGACAGAAAATCCAAGTTAGGGTTTTTCTGCTACATAATTCTTAGTTTCAAGAAGTTGCTCTCATGCACCCGCCAGATGTGCTGGGTCCTGGCCCTGGGTTAGGATGGGGACAGGCACTGTTTGGGCTCCTCGAAGATCTGCTCCCAGGGAACCGCACCTTAGTCCAGCACCTCACTTACTGCAGAGCCACCTTGAGGGTTGTGTCCGCTACATGAACTGTCGTTTGATTTCCCTTCTAGGAATGCCAATGAGAGAAATTTGTTTCCGGTCCCAGTGCTGGAAAAGGCTGTTTCTTTGGAGCAACAAGCATCTGTTTTGCTTTATGGAGACTGTGATCTTTTAAATGATTTCCCTCCTCTATGCTCTGGTTATTAGAAAGCTCAGAGCCAAGGTGTCCAGGATATTTGCCCACGTATTTTGGTGTATTTACCTCACCTCTGGCCTCATTTAAATTACCTACATCACCCTACTTCCCTTCTCTCTCTCAGATCTGACTGTACCGCATACATTTCCTTTCGCTGCCTCACCTGATTTTTTCTAAATTCCTGTTAACCAATGTCATCCATTAATAACATGTAGGAAAATCTTTACTGCAAAATTAAACTGATGCCACTGGCTGTAGTAAATTTCTTGGAAACTGGTCAGTATGTACTTTTGGGAAGCTTTGAGTTAAGATACTGGATGATAAACCCGGGGCCCTGTGGTGGTAACTGCTACAACTGGTGGGTATTAAACATGGCTAGTGTGCTGTAGCTCTGTCCTGCACCTGACACACACGCTCATTTAACCCTCACAATAGCCCAGCAGGCAGGGACTACATGAGCCCCTCACACGGCTGGAGAACCTGAGGGCACAGAGGGTGGACAAGGGCAGAGCCCAAGGGGCACACAGTGGGGCTGGGATCTGAAGCCAGACTCCAGGCAGTCTGGTGCCGAAACCCACTCTTCTAACTACTGTAAAGAGGCACCGATGAAATGACCATGCTGCCATTTTAAACCAACAAACACACAAAAAGAAACAAACCCAAATCCAAAAACCATAAGCAGAAATAAAAATAAATGACCAGCAGTGTTGACGCTATTTATGAGGGACTTACTATGTTATGTTACTGGGAGTGGGAGGGAAACACAGGAAAAGGAGCATAAAAGAATTAGAAAGCACAGGTTTTAATTTTTTACGATTTTTGTAAGATTCTATAAGAATCTTTTCAAGTAGTTGAAGAACAAAGTGAACAATGACAATTAATAATACCTAGGATTTCAGAAATTCAAATGACTAGTGGAAGAATGAAACGTAAGCCAAACCCTGCGAGATAAATAGGAATTTTAAGTGGACTGTTGTCGTAACTTCCCTAAGAGCACCCATGAGATCCTGGATGTGTAAGCCAAGCTCATATGGCATAAGGAAGCACTCGTGGGTCCCGTGGAGAGCAGAGCTGGCGCGTGGTGGAAGAGAACACCTGACACCATGGCCTGAAGGTCGCTGTGGTGGTCATGGGCAATCAGGTTATCAGCGCAGAGAATCTCGTACAAACCTCAGGGGGCCCTATCACCAGGAAGTCAGACATCGACCGGCTCCAGCTGTAAGCGACCTCACTGCTGGGCCAGTCCAGTGTCCTCATTTTAGAAATAAGGATGGACTTCTGAGTCCCCCACAGGTAATGGCCTTGGTGGTGACAAGGTGGCAGCAGCAGAGCAGGGGCAGAACCGAGTCCTGCCTCTAGGCTAGAGCTCGTCTCACCCTATCAGTTGCCACCTCCCTTTCTCTCTATTTGTCAGCTGCCCGAATGGAAAGGAGAGATAGGAAGTCAAATAATATTTTCCTTTTATCTCAACTGTGTATTATCATTCAGCACCAAAGTGCTCTACTTTCCTCTTCTAAAGCAAGAAAAGATCCAAAGGGCAGCATGTCAATCAAACAGATACAAGTCTGCTTCTGACCAGTCACACTCTACACCCCATTTTAGGGAAGAAATGATTATGGCACCATCTTAAAACTTTACACATGCAAAATAAACAATCTGGTACAAAATCTGATTTAAACCTGTCCTTTCTGGTAACAAAACTTAAAATTTGCTATTTTAAAAAAGTAGTTCATATACTTACTCTATCATAATGCTGTTCCAAAAATTCCGCACTGAGCAACTTATGTCTTGTAAGCAAATCCTACGGGGAAAAAAAAGTACTGTTAAAAAGTTGTTCTGCATTCAGGTTCTCTTAAAAAAGAGAATCCTAAAATATTCCATGCCACTTAACCTAACAAAAACTTTTTAAAATTACTTAAGTTGAGCATGAATTGTATTGGAAATACTGATTTTGTATAAGAGTAAATAAAATCAACAGTCTGAAATTGTGATTGTAATGATTATGATTAGAATGATTATAATTATTCTTAGAAGAAAAAATTTAAAAACAAACATATAAGGCAACGGAAGTAGATATTCAAAGAGAGTGAAGAGCTGAAGTGAAATAGAAGTATACAACTGCAGTAAAATGTCAAATAGAAAATGGCTCCTGGTGGAGAAAGAGGAAATTTCTTTAATTAGAAGTATTAGAGGTTCCGTTTCCTTCCTCCTAAATTCAGCTGCACTCAGTTTCACATCTAATGCAAACTTTTGCAGAGGTAGAATGTTTTTAAAAGCCCTCTCATTTTAGAAACATGAGCTCCCAAGGAAGCAGAACACTGAAGAAATGTAGGAACAATTATCAGTAAGACCTCAAGTCTAATTCTGCATTCTTATGAAACAGCTGATGTCTTGCCCCACGGATTTCCCTGGAAACAAGCCAAGGGTCATTCGTTCAGAAAATACCTACAATGTTCCAGGTAATGTTCCAGGTGCTTGGGTTACAAAGAAGAAAGACATGGGCCCTGCAAGCTAGCAATGATGGGCCTCGGTCTCACCAGGGTGGGGAGGGGATCGTGTGACAGCAGGAATGGCCAGTCGGTAGTTGGTACATTAGGGAATTACATTCCTTTAGAGCCCCCTACTGGAGGGGCTGGTGCCAATAATGCCCTTTGTCAGAACCAACCTTGCTTAACTTGTACTCTGCTGTTTATGTTTGAGTTAACCAGGTTACAATGAACTAGTGCTTCCTAAGTATGTCCGAGTGCCATAGAAATGGGAAAAGCTCTGAGAAATGTCCCATTGTCAAGCTGACGTGCAGAGCACTACGGCTCTGGGTGCTTCGTGGGGCTCCATCCAGCAGCAGGAGGTTCTGCAGGGAGCTGTTGCCTGCTCTGATGGCACCTTTCCCTGAAAGGCCTCCATGGCTTGCCCCTCTCTAGGTACCTACCACCTTCGGAGTCCCACTCATCGCTCCCATAGGGAATGACTGGACACCGACACATGAGCATGGTCACAGGTGTGACTGTACGTCTGAGAGACCGTCTGATTAATGTCTCATGCCAGGCTGCACATTCTGTAAACACAAGGCTCATGTCTATTTTTAATCTTTGAATCCCCAGCACCTATGCAGTGTACAGCACACAGCAAGAGTTTAATAGTTAATAAATAAATGAATGACCTAACATCAGGGAATATGTTTGTGAAAACGTCACATTAATCAAGATTCAAAGTATGCTTATAAAAAGGCTTCTAACTCCACCCCAAAGATTTACAGGTGTTTAAACTGCTGGATAGGGTGTGTATTGTATGTTCAGAAAAGACCTGCCCAATTTATTCTAAATCTCCCTTAGGGATTAAACAGGCAAAATTAGAGACCCTGGAGTTTATTTTAGTACAAGAGTCTGGAAAGAAATGCTATGAGGTGCCCATATGGGGAAGGAAGAGATGGTGGGGGTAGGAGAATTGATATTATCTCAGTGTATCATGGGGCAAGATATAGGACAAAGAGGAACACGAGAATGTTAGGGCATGTATCAGGCATGCTTGCTAAGAGCACTTCCCTCCTTCTAACATGACCCTGGTCTGTTTATGGTGGTCTCCCCTGTGTAGGAGCCTCAAGGGCAGGGGTCTGTCTGTATGACTCACCGAAGAACCCACCTACAGAACAGCACCCAACACAGGGCAGGGCCAAGAGACTCGTGGAATGAACTGAATGAACATACAAATATGGGAATTAAAGGATTAATGAGTCAGGATGGTGCGAGACTGGGAGTCAAGCCTACCTTTCTGTGGTCAATCCTCTTGGAGGCCAGTATGAGGAAGTACAGAGAAAGAAGCCGTGCTCACTGCTCGGTCATAATGTGACCACGGAGAAGGCCAGAGGCGGGGTCTGAGAGACAGTGGCCCTCACCTGGGGTTGGGTTCTTGGGTAGGTAGGAAGTGTTGCTCTGAAACAGCAAAGGTCCTGAACGCATTGTGCAACAGATCTGATTGTGCGTCTGAGTAAGGGGCTATATGCTCTGAGGCTCTATCTCAAGGAGGAGCAAGAGGCTCACAGGTGGGCCACACATGAAAAGGGGGACTGCCCCCATCTCCCCACCTAGAGGAGTCTACTTGTTATCATCTGGTTTAAAGAGAACATGAAATTCACTGAGAAACCACTGCCAATCCAGGAATCAAATCTCAATGGCCTTGGGGTAGGAGAGAAAAGGGGTGCTCTGAGACTATTAAAGTAGGGGCTGGCCCCACATGATGAAAGTCCTTTGTTAAGAAGGGCCATGCCAGGGCAGGGCCTGGAGGGGACAGAAAAACATCAGCAGGAAAGGAGCAACTGCTGAGAGCCAGCGCTGAGAAAAAAGGCTGGCACTAAGCTGGGAAATGGGGAGATAGGACTTAGGCAGTGCCTCTGTCTACTGAGATGAAGAGGAACCTTACCTTAGGATTAGAGCCAAGAGCTCTAGACAACTCAAACCAGGGTATAGAGGTGGAAACCAACAGAAGAGAAGATGAAGGGAAATGGTTATGAGGTATCTGGTCAGCAATCCACAAATTCATAGGATACATGTGGTCCCAGACTGGCAGAGTTGCTAGTTGCTAAATTCCAGGTATAACTTGGAGAAAGGTCAGGAATCATTTCCCAAGTCCAGCAGATTAAGCAGCCAACTTTTAGGGTGGGTTGAAATGAAAAATTCCTAAAATTATGTAAGTTTGGGCCCCAAATATCACGTGACAAAGACAGCCCTGGAATCCCAGAAGAAATAGAGCTAAGTCAGGGGGGCTGATTTTCACAGATCCTTGGCAAGTCATTTGGCTCAATTTCCTACTTGACACTTGAATATGTTTGTCCAAGGACAAGAAACTCAATTCTTCTGTGTGGTTCACCTCTGGAGCTCGTAGAGCTAGAATGTTTTTCCTGTGCTAAGAGTTGAAGCCTATGCCCTGGTTACTTCCAGAAACAGGTTGAACCCATCTCCTAGAGGCTCCCACTTCAAATACAGTAGTGCTCTCATGCCAAGTCCCTGCTGAGTCTTCTCTTCTTCAGTCTAAACACATCCAGTTCCTTTACCCACTTCTCAAATGACAGGTTCTGAGTGGCCCTCACCATCTAGTGTCTTCTGAAAGTCATCTATTTGTCTATGTGCCTCTTAAAGTATAGTGCCTGGAATGGAACACACTGATGTGCTGTTACCTGGTAAGCTTACCGTGGGGAGAGACCATCAAAAGCTCCTGAGGTCGCACACTGTGTGGGCACATGGAGCTTTGGGGCAGCACCATCAGACTGCTTAATGGACGTATTCAGAATTTTCTTTTCTCATAGTGGGCTCTGCAGTCAGACTGCCTGGGTTCAAATTCCGGCTTGCCCATTTACTGTCTGACTTTATTCAACATTTCTAGGCTTAGCGCCCTTATCTGTAAAGGAGGTAATAATACCTCCTTCGTGGGGTTGTTTGAGCATGATAAGAAGTTAGCTAATTTTATTATTACAGTTGGTATTAACTGTTAGTATCACGACTATTCCCCCATCCATGTTTATATGGTTGGGTCCTCAAGTGGAAGACCTCAGTGATCTGCATTTACTTTTATCCTGTTATATTCTGGCTTCCCTGGATCTATGAAGCCTCATTTAGGCTCACTGTTATTTGTTATCTTTCCCTTTGTGGCTACTGCCGACACATTTGGTAAGTATGCCTTGGCACCCTTCACCTAAGTCATTAATAATCAACTTGGCTGAGTGGAGATCCATTAGTCTCTCTCCAGGTTGATGGCGATCCATTTTCTGGCACCTTATGGATACAAGCCTTCGATTAGTTGCAAAACATCATTGAAACTCCAACTAGCTCCTAATCTTTTTATTGTTTCCATGAAAATAAGTCTGCACAGTTATTTGACATCTAGTATACCTTGTCATAAAGGAATACTTCTAGCTACTGGTTATAGCACACATACTGTGTGAGGCCATAATAACCTGACACATTAGTATTATCACACTCATTTTAGCAGATGAAGACACAGGTTCAATCAGCAGCAGAGCTGGGAACTGAACCCAGGCAGCCACGCTTTAGGACCCCTGATCTACTGGCATCAATGAGATTAGTATGACTGAACTTACTCTTAGTGAATCCATGTTGGCTGTGGGCATTCGGTTTCCTTTCCAAAATGCTCAGATATCATCTCTTTAGAAATACTTTCTAGAACCTTATACAGGTATAACATCAAGCTCCAAGCTCCACCAGCCTCTCTGGGGAATCTACCTTCTTTAACTCTGGAAAATTGGAAATATATTTGTTGGCCTTCTGATGCCCCTCCCAATCTCCTAATTCCTTAACAAACAAACAAACAAACAAAAAAATCACTAACAAATATTTGGCCACTGATTTAACTATCTCAGTACCTATTCACTCGAGTTACACATTTAGAGCAGGTAATTTGAATGTCCTTTTAAGACTCAGCCTGTTTCCTGGGGCTTTGAATCTAGGGTTATGGATGAGCTGCATTCACTTGAAAGTGCGCAGACTGCATTTTCTGGGAAGTTGCTCTGGTCACATTCTCGAAGGAGAACATGCATCAGGGATCTGTTCTCCTTTTCCTTATAAAAGTATTCTCTGCAAAGAGGACATAAGTGAACCAGGAGAGAGGAAGTCCCCCTTCCCTGCGCCAGTGCCTGTGGAGTGAGGCTGAGGCTGAGACCGCCCCCGCTGGCCTTCCCTGCCTGACTTGAGTGGAGTTTCTTTTGGGCAGGGGTGGGGAGGGAGATTTGGTCTGTTGGCCAGGCCTCTGCCTTGCTCTTGTCTTAGTTTTGGCCTCCTGTCTATTTTGTTTCTGGGAGAGCTCGTTTTAATGAGCTCTCCCCTTTCCATGCAATGAGGAGAAGTTGAGATACAGGATCCAAGCCAGCTCCTCCGTGCTTGCTCCTCTAGAGCTCATCCTCAGACTCCTCTGTTGTTTTCTAAAGTTGTCCTTCTTCAGGTAATGACTACCACCTGGCTCTGCCAATCTTCCCCAGGTCATGTGGCCACCATGACCTGAGGGGTTGCTTTACCCACGGTGATTCCATCACCTTGGTGTGAGTTTAATTCAAAGAAGCAACCCTAACTGAGATGAATTATCAGAAGGCCAATCAAGACTTTGTCAGACACTGGGAATCGCATTTCTGGCATATAATTAGCACATTTCTCTCACCTCTTGGTTAATTTTGCCAGGAGCATGTCCTCCATGCTCTCCTTGGTCTGGCAGTCTGGCTACATTCTCTCATACCACTGCTGCCCCTCTCCTTCTCTCCGTTCACCCTCCTGCTCGCTCCCAGAGCTGCACTCTCATGCTCACGGCTCTTTCCACACAGGAGTATCTCTTCGTCTTGACACATGGTGCTACTACATCTTTCTTCACAACAGTCTGATGCTTTGAATGGGCACACCTTCCATCTTGAGCAAGAGTTCTACCCCACCAAGGGCTGTGAAACCCAAGCATCATATTTACCACTCTATGCTACCATCTTAAATTCATGTCATTTTGCTTTTTACATTGACACAGAAAGATCACAGGTCTTACCTAGGGCTGCTGATAGTCTTTCTAATGGTTTCTGGAAAATAAATTCCTGGACTTCCCACACTACTATTTTATTCCCATCCAATGTGAACCCTAGTGGCCAGGTTGCCAGGCTTTCCTCCTCTTTAAGGGTGCTCATTTGCTCTGAGTGACAGATTTTACCCAGAAACCAAGGCCTCTGCTCACCTCAGGGGCTCTTTACAATCATAAAACTGAAAACTTTCAAGAGAAGTGGCTACTTATCTCTGTCACAGTGTTCATGGTTCCTGAGCACAGCAGTCTGCAGGTTAGTACACTACATTCTGATTACATTAAAATAGCAGTTCTCCTCTAGAGCTCATCCTCAGACTCCTCTGTTGTTTTCTAAATATTCACTTAAAAGGTCACACATTTTATATAAGGGAATGTAACAGAAAGACTCGCTCTTATTGTGAAAACCCTAATAAAGATTACTGCCTTATTTATATACCAAAAGCGGCACAGGACCTTACGATTCAAAACAAAGATGTGTGTGTTGTACATTGGTATCCTATATATGTGTATTTTATTTAGATAAATCTACAGCAGAGAGATAAGACACACAGGGGAGAGAGGCTACATAGTAATTTGAATAGTGCTGGTAATCCTGTCTGCCCCCCCCCCCC